GTAGTGGTAGTGGTAGTGGTAGTGGTAGTGGTAGTGGTAGTGGTAGTGGTAGTGGTAGTGGTAGTGGTAGTGGTCGTAGTAGTAGTAGTCGTAGTAGTAGTAGTAGTAGTAGTAGTAGTAGTAGTAGAAGTAGCGGCCTATTATCTCTTTGATCATTATTATTTGGTGCATCGTTTTGGGGTTTAGGTGGCTTATAGTGGCTTGTGTATTTCTATTGTCAGGCTCTTCTGAACTCTAGACGCAGCCTGCGCTGAGGCCATGATTGTAGACGCGCTGGTCGAGTGACCCCACCGGGCCAGCCAGAGTGTAGAAGCCTTCCCGCGAGGTGGTGTTGCATAAAGACTTAAGACTAATGTAGGAACCTGATTAAGAAACCCATGCCCTTTTCTTCTCCCAAATATTAAGATGCATAATAAACAAACCCTAATAAAGACCCAAGGTTTCTTTATGAGGTTCCTACATTAATTCCTGAGCCCTGAAATCTCGAGCCTGGCATAATCTGACATCTGTGTGCTCTTCAAGAGTCCGAATGCAGGCAGGACGGTGGGCTCCCCTTACTTGAACATAGCCTCCATGCGTTGCCTTCAGGTTTTGAGTTCAAGGTTTAGGGCTCAGACTATCTGTAGGGCAAGTTAAGCTTGCTCTACGGCTCTACGTATGGTTCGAGGAACAGCAACAACCGGCTATGTATGTGATTCGGCTCGTAGGGCCCGGTTTTTTGCAGAGCCCAGAGCATTAAAGTTAGAGTAGTTAAATAACGTCGAGATGGCCAGGAAGCTCCGAGCAGTGCTGCGACAAATACAAAGCTGCAAACCCGCAAAAACAAGGAATCCAGGAAAATCGATGGCATTGGCGATGATCCTATTATTTCTCTTTGAAGCCGTATTAAAATCCTGTTCAAACACTGGGAAGTAGCAAATTATGTGGATGTTCCATGTAACGCCTGCAAGGTGGATGTCGCCACAGCGAATTCCATGTCAGGAGGTAGCGATCCTCGGACTTCCACCCTAAACCCTGAACCCTCCCTTCTTGCGGAAGGAATATCATCGAGTCTCGGGGAACCCAGGCCCCCCGGCTCGGAACACGGGCCTAAACGCTATAATCCCTAAATCCCTACTCACTGACCCCGAAACACATGGACCCCGAATCGTAGATAGTAGATGTTGAGACCTTAATGCCACACCTAAACTCTAAGCCCCAGACCCTGCCTTCTCTCCAAGAGGTACGACCAGCCTATCTTTATCTACATCCCGAAGCACGGCGAGCTCCGCGGCGGAGCCTGGGTGGTCCCTCCGGCCCGGAATTAATACCAGGTAGTATAAGTAGGCCCAAACCTTAAAACCCTAAGTAAGGTTTACATCACTACTAGCCCTAAACCCTAAATCCCAAAACCCTACATCCACACGCTGTTTTAGGAGATGCGGGACCGAGTTTGATGCTCCTGCTTCTATTGTCGGCACATCGCAGGGCTTCGGAGTAATATAGGGATCGGAATAGCTAGCAATACAAGTCCTCAGGGTTCATAGTATGACTATTTTGTACTAAGATTATACCCAAAACCCTTTTTAAGTATTAAGGCCCCTACACTGCCGTGTTTAGGGTCCATCTCTTGCCCTAATCTTGAAACGCCAGCCCATAAAAATACCCTAAGGGTCCACAGGACCTGATCTGACCTAGTAATTAGGGTTTAGGGTTTTGGGTTTTTGGTTTAATGTCCGAGGGATGTATTAAATAGGTATGGGAATTTTGGATAATTAGTAGTTTTCGAGGGTACGCATTAGGGAGATGATGTGATTCTTAGGTACATGGGATCTGGGGTCTAGGCGGTTTAGGGCCCTAAATCTCTCTGTTTTGGGTACATAGCAGGTCATTGACCCCGCAATCAACCCAGACAAGATGGAGATGTGCGCCGACCTTCGCGATTCGGGTTCAGGGCTTGGGTCCGTGGGTATAGCAATGTCTTGGGGTCAAGCGAGCTGAAGCAATCGAGGCATGTGCGAAAGTTTCAGTCGGAGCCATCCTTAAACTGTACTCTCTTATACTATCTTATACTATATTATGCTATATCATGCTATATTATACTCGAGCTTCCTGGATCCCACGTCCTCAAGTGGGAAACCCTGGAGAGCTCTGAATGGATTGAGGAGGAATGTCTTGAAATCGAGTCATCAAACCCTGACCCTTTTAAGCGCCCTACCTGCCAGGACCCGGCAAGGGCGCTTTAATGGAGCCAGGGTCCTTAGTAGGGGCTATCTGGGGTAGAATAGAGGACCCTCATATGTAGTTTCTGGTGTTTCGTCACCTGCAGTTGCATCTTTCTCAGATCGTAGTCATGAGCTTGGTTAATCTGAGCAAGGAGTTCTTTGTAGAGCAAAGCCTGGAGAAAAGCTCCACCAAATCTCCGACGACGATGCCTGTGGTGACGATCATTATGATGGTGATGGTGATGCTGATGATGAGCATAACGACGATGATGATGATGGTGGTTCTGCTGATTGTTAATTGGTTCTACAACTTGTATCGGCAACACTGACGAATAGTCACCAACATTGGCACACGTGCGAGTGAGTCGTCTTCCTCCCCTCCTCATATGATGACTGCTATTGCTATTCTGTCATGTGGTCGCCACCTGCTTTTTGGTTACTTTGCGTCTGCTTTGGTGGGATCGTACTTGCCTGTGAAAATTAAACCGTCTGACCCAACAGGGAACTAGCTACGTTGGAGACTGTAGGTACTCCAAAATCTTTCGAGTCCCTAGTTATAAGGCTCCATTGACTCATGTTAGCTTGTATATACTTTGGCATTGAAGCAGTCCCTATCTAGGTACTTTAGGCCAAAAGTATATACTATATGAGCACCTGGACTCTTAGGGTAGCTTGGAACCCCTGCGCTTCGCAGGTATGCCGACGTGGATGCCCGCGGCGGCATTCTCGAGCCACCAGGTATTGTGGAGGTCGCGCAGCCCGAACTTGAGGAGTTTAGGGCGTAGGGTTTAGGGCTGAGGGGTAGGACTTCGTGTTTGGGTTGATTGGTTTTGCGTGCAGTCTAGGTCAAGTTTGGGTTTAAACTTTGGCAGAGTGTTCAGAGTAATTCCTATAAACCAGGCCTCTTAACCCGGCTAGTTTGGCCAAGGTGTCCTGGCTGAGTCGAACGTTCAACGTACAGGTCCTGCAATCTACCGGACTTGACGACATGAGGTGCTCTACCTCTTCATGAAAAATCCTCTGTCGGACTGGCCTAACCGGCTATCGTTCTCTAAGCCTCGAAGCTCTAAACCTTAAGCCCCCAATCCTCCTGTCGGATGTGCAGATGGCTCAGGCCCCACAGACCATGCTTCATGGACTCCAATCCGGCCCAGAAATGAAAACCCTCAACCCTGAATAATGTCCCCAAGCCTCGACCGCCTCGCTTTAGTTAATGTTTGTTTGGGTACGTTCTGCCAAACAAAATCGTTGGTTTAGAGATTGTTTACATGGTTGATTTGGGAATCCAGGTCATGACTACCATAACAAGTGGCTACACTATACATGCTATTTACTAACTGCCCCCTAAACCTTGAAGGACAGGAAGTGTGAATCCTCAAAGGTTTCCGCACTGAGCCGCCTTTTGCAAAGCTATTCGGGAGTCACTGGGGCTTCTGCTTAGGTTCCAGAGCTTTAAGGTTTAGGGTTTCGGGCTTCCATTAGCTCTTCACGCAATACCAACGCCGCGTAAACCCTCAACACGACTCCTCTAGGCCGATGTTGCAACAGCTTCGAACTGCGTGTAGACAACGAAGCTCCTCTCTCTGTATCAGATATGTATATATATATATATATAACACATACATACATACGTACATGCATGCATACATACATACATACATATACATACATACATACATACATACATACAGACATATTTACATAACATCGCAGTACACATGAATAGATGCACACGGATAGACACGTACATCCAAGAACACCGTGCGTATGTCCTGCAACCCAAGGTGAAGTACCGTGCACCTCAGCAGGCGCAGAGTGGAAAAGTTTTTGGGAGAGTAGGTCTTCCATGGAGAGCTCAGGTCTTTGAGCATGTTTGGGCTTAGGGTTAAGGGTCCCTTTGGGTTTAGGTTCCCCTACCCTCTACTTGACCTACCAGGTTTGTACGGTTTAGAATTGCGGCTCACATACATCGAGTCCTAAACCCCCAAAGCCCTCATTTAGCCCAAAACCCAACACCCCCAACTAACTGACGCGAAACACTACATCCTAAACCCGAAACAGAATGCTCCCTGCATAGCTGGGCTTGTAAGATCCCAACCTCAAGGCCCCGAAAGGCTGGAGAGGGGACCGTAGTTTCAGCTCGTTCTAGTATATAGGATATAGTCTGCCATAGTCTATGCTATATAGTATATGACGTGTAAGATATGACATGTGGTATATGATGGAGAATCTATATAAACACTATATGATATAGAATATATGGCTTATAGGTATTCAGCAAAAACGCACCAGTTCTGCAACAAGAAAAGCCTCAAGCCCTGCATTCCAGAACCTGACCCCTCGAGCTCTTAATTCAAACCCTGAACCCTAAACCCAACAGTTTAGGGTTGAGCGTTTAGGGTTTAGGGAATAAGGACCCTATGTCCTAAATCCTGTGGCCCTAAACTCCATACGCTGCAGGTAGAGGCCATGCACCGAATCGACGCCAAGTTGAAGGACTTGGATGGCAAGCTGGCCGGCAAGGAGGCCTCCAGCTCTTACCCAGCTCTTACGAAGTTGAAAGCGGCTGCTGTAACTGGATGAGACTTTGGGCTGTGACCTTATAAACTAACCCCCCCAAGATAGCAAGAAGAAGGAATCTGCAAGAAAGCAGGCTATGTCCGTGTCTGGGCTTTCGGAGGGTCAGGCAAAGTCCACAAAGCTGAGTCTCTAGCTGCTGCCAGGGCGCTGCGAAGACCGAAGTCGAAAAGGAGATCAAGGATGGGCTCCCGCTTCAATTTTCGGATAACCAGTGCATGTCCAGTTTTCTGGATCAAATCCTACAGCAAGGATCGCAATGGAGGCAAAGAGGTAACTAGCCCCCAAGCCCTGAAGCCGTACCCGAAACCCTAAACCCTAAACCCTCACAATTTCGGGTGCAAGGCCCATACCTCATGAACTTTTTCTTTAAACCAGATCCTTCTTTGACTGTACATTCACCGGTAATCACGGACGACGACGTTCCGTATAAAAGGCGAGGTCTATCGTCTTCCTCATCTGAGACATCAGGATAGTCTGAAGGAGGATCATCCACCATGATGTTGCCTTTACATCTCAACCCTAAACCCTAAACCTGATCCAATTCCCTAAACGCTGCATCCTTGACACCCACATTTTCTGCAGAGAAGTGAAGAGAACTGGATGACTTCTGGCTCAACAGGAGGCTCTTCCCCGAAACAAGAGGTTCGTTCCCCTCCCTAAAACTCTAAGGGTCCATGTACTCAAATAGTATATACTTTGGCCTTAAAGTAATCCCTATTTAAGTACATAAGGGCCAAAGTATTTATTATTTGGGTACACGGACCCCGTGGGGAAAGCTCTGCAACTTCAGGAGTTGTTGAGGTTTACGGTCCAGGTTTCAGGCTTGGGGATGAGGGTCTGGCGTTTACTAAGAAGTGAAGTCTTCGGGTGCTGTTAGGGTTTAGGGTTTAGGGTTTAGGGTTTAGGGTTTAGGGTTTAGGGTTTAGGGATAGGAAGTACCTTAAGAACCCAAAACCCACTTTTTTGTAGGTTCTTATTATAAATAAACCTTAATATGGGATTTATAGGGACCCTACAAAAAAGTAGGTTTTGGGTTCTTAAGGTAGGGCTATAATGAGGGCAATGCCCAGACCCTAGTCTAATTGTTAAGGCCCAGTATTGCGTGGCTCGTCAAGCAGCGGCGGGCGAGGCAGCAGCCAGGATGTCTAAATTCAATCGTGCATGGAGACAATGAAGCTGGTCGACCTGCCTCAGCTTCCGAAACGCATCGACACACTCGCAGTATTCGGTGTGCGTTCGGCTGAGCACAGTCAAGTCTTTGCAGCAACGTGCTGTCAGCACCAACAGGCTGCTGACCATGGACCGACAGGAGTTCAGCCTGCCGCGATACACCTGCGGACATGCACCGAAGGACGTCGCGGAGTCGGATTTTGAGTTATCCTTTCTTTGCAGGTAGTCTGCTTGCAGAGCTTCTCTCCCAACCCCATGGCCCTGGACTCTCAGTCCTACATCACACTACATGAACTGTAAAGAACAACCCTACACAAACCTACAACATGAAGAACCCTTTACAAAGCTTACATAAACTCATTTACACCTACATGAACCTCACACAAAGCTACGTCTACGTTGACCCTGCATAAACCTAGCGGACACCCAAAGAAAACCCCCTACATAAAACCTAGATCGTTGTGCGCGAACCACTGAAGATTCTGGAGAAGTTTCCTCTCACACTTCCGGACCAGCGGAGGCTAGAGAAAAGCAGCTGCACCGCGCTCAGCCTTTTTGGGGTTGGTGGGATTTCCTTGGGGCTTGGCTTTAGGATTTTGTTGATTTAGGGTTTAGCCCCTGTCATGGTTCACCTTCCTACACCCTAAACCCTAATTAAACCAAAACCCTAAACCCTAAACCCTAAACCAAAAGCCTAAAGCCTAAACCGAACGGTCCAGGGTTTTGGGTGTGCAGGTTATAGTGGCGAATGCACGCTCATTGGCCTGTAATTGAGAACCTTCTGGCAAACACGAGCGGGCCTGGATAAAATTGAAAGTCCCAAGGCAAAAGGGTCCGTATATACTACTATTGTGGAAGTAGGTCCCCGAAGCCAAACAAAGGGATGGTCCTTTGAAGCCTATAATTCCATAATGGCAGTATATATGGGCCCTCTGGGAGAGCCTCCCGGCATGCTTAGAGGCGAACTACAACTGACCAGACGATAGTAACTTAGGCCCTAGAAAGCTCAGAACCTTATCCGGTTTAGGGTTTGGGGTTTAAGGTTCAGGGCTTGGGGTTTAGGGCGGCCGGTAACTTCAGTGATGCCAGGGCTGTAGGTATCCCAAAGGCCGGTCAACGCCAAACAATCAACACGAAAATCCCCCCAAATCCTAGACTACAACCCCCAGCCAGGGCCCTAAACCTGAGAATGCTCTGCTCAAGCCCGTAGTTGAACCTGTAGCCCGTAGGGTTTAGGGTTACCCATCAAGCCCTGAACCGCAAGCCGCCTTGCGCGAAGACCGAGCATGCCCACACGTTCGTTTCTGCCCTGCTCCGTGCACTTCCCCCGCAATGCAGGCGACGTCTCAGTTCCAAGCGTCACAATCTTGCCTTGCAAGCCGCACTGCGCAAGCAGCGGGGGCCACGAAGGGCAAAGCCGCCCTCTGCCTTGTGGAGCGATTTTCCAGCGTCAAGTGCTGTACTTGCAATGGCCTTCCCTAACCTCCCAGGTACCTACTATATAGGGCCCTAGGGGCTCCAGTACTCTATATAGTAGGTACCTGGGGGGTTTGTTGGGCACTTGAACCGAAACTCCCCCCGCACCCTAAACCCCTAGACCCCCTAAAACCCCCTGAGCCCTAAACTCCAAACCCTAAACCCCCATTAGCCCTATGTTGTATGCAGAGCTTTACCAAGGCTTCCCCTGTACACCTCCGTGGCGGCCAGAGCCCCAACAAGTGTGGAGTTTAGGGTTTAGTTAGGGTTTAGGGTTTAGGGTTGAGGGTTCAGGGTTTGGGGACAAGTCGGAGAAAGGATTTTGGTCTATTTGCTTGGGCTTTCTTCGGATTTTTGTTGTTTGCGGTTTTTGGTTCTTTTGCCGAAATCCTACGCCCTAAACCCCTAAACTGTGAGAAACCCTAAACCCTAAACCTTAAAGCAGACAAACATCCTGCACTTGAGAGTTTCGGGCTCTTTGCTCCAGGGTATCAGTCCGTCTAAGCGTGAGCCTCTGAAGAGGCCAGGCACCCCCTATACTGCTAATCCCAAAGCTAGCCCAAAGGGTCATAATATCGGGGCCTAAATAATTACTTATACTATTTTGGTATACTATACCCCAAAACCCCTTTCTATTTATCAAAGCCACTATATTATGTACTGCTGTGCGGGATACTTTGTCAAGGGTTAAGGCTTTCGGGCTCCCCCCTTAAGGGTTGAGGGTTCAGGGTACCTATATGGGGGATGCCTCCGCAAATCGTAATGGTAGTTCCCAGCGTACATTCTGCCAAGTAGGTACTTAGGACCCTTTGGGTAGTGTTCGGGTTGCTTTGTAAGGTCTTTGTGTGATACTTAGTATAGGGCTTTCTGTAGGGCGTATGAGGGTTGTTACAGGGAGGCAGCAAGGCCTTATGAGCTGTAAGGAAGATTCACAAATTATAATAGCTTCCGCAGAACCCCATTCTAAGCACTAGGTTGCTAAGGCCCCGCATTGGATTCCAACTCCATGTCCCTCCTGTCTCGTCCTCCGTTTCATATAGAAGACTATGTAGGATATTTCTTGGCGTTGCAAAGCTCTAAGTTCAGTCAACATGCCATGTACTTGTACCTTGAAGCAGCCAAATTTTGGATTCTAGCTGGGACATAGAAGAATCATTTGGGAAGTTTAGGTTTTAGGGTTTAGAGCTTTGGGTTTAGGCCTCAGGGTTTAGGGTTGGGTTTGGGACCTATACAAGTTAAGGGTTTAGAAGACTCATCCGAGGAGGTTCCACAGCCTGAGGGGGTTGCAAGTCGCTCTTTGCTACATACTGATTCCTCATCGGCATTCTTTGTTGTGTTTGTTCAGTGCCCCCGCGGCATGTACCGACAGAAGCCATAAGCCAAGGCCTCAGTAAAACCCTTAAAGTTCATTCAAGCATGCAACTAGGTCCGAGATGATTCAGTGTATAGTTCTGTGGTCCATGACACCCGAGTATTCCCGTACTGGAACCCTCTATGTAAGACTTCAAGCCCCGAATCTATAGACTGCAAGCAGACTCGGAAGCTAGACCCTACGGGTGGCCCAAAAAACCGACCTCTGTAA